ATTCAATGCCTTCTTCTGGGATTGCTTCCCTGAATGAACTGCTTCCTGAGCCTGCTTGAACCCAAGAGGATAACCCTCACCATGACTGCACATAACAGGACACCAGAGAATGCGCKCAAGCACTGCACCCTGCTTTTTGGGATACAGTTCTGGATCATGCCTTAGCTTTTCTTTGGAGCACTTCATCTAGCTCCTCCCAACCAGGTCTTTGCGTGGCAGATGTGCTGTAACGGGGCCAGCCCTTACAGTGAAGGTACAAGCCACCAGTAGTGGCCTTGGGAACCGAGGGGACCCGATGCTGGCTCATTTCATTTTGCAGAGCAGACAGAGGGACACCACCCAGCCCAGCACCCCCTCGCAGCCATGACCTGCTGAGGAGCACAGGGCAAACCAGCAGTGGTATTTCTTCAGGATACTCACAAGCTTCCAAACCATGCAGCTCAAAACTTCCTAAGCCAGAGGCAGTGGTTTTAAATTTAATAGCCCTTGATGGATTTCTCTTCCATGAACTCATCCAGTCACCTCATTAGCTGATGTAACCTCTTGGCATCCACATCCTGTGGTGAGGAGCTCAGCAGTCTGACCACGCCATGTGAAGAACCATCTCCTTTTGTTTCCATTCCTGCAACTGCCTGCTTCACCCAGCTCTCTGCTGCTGTTGCTGTGATCAGTCATTTCTGATTTGCCTTCTCCATACTTTGCTTAATTTTACAGRTTTTTATTGCATCACTTTATCAGCATTGTCAGTCCTCAGACAGGAGTCTGTTTCCCTGATCTCTTTGCAATGTCCCTACGAAACTTCTCCCTCACCATTATACACCTCTGAGGTGGGGGAATCAACAGCACAGGATACTGAAGATATTGCACACCATAGCTTCTACACTGAAATAAGGAGGAGTCTTTTTTATTATTTTCCATCCCTTAAAAAATAGTCTTAGTGTTCTATTTCCCATTGGTTTTTAACTCACATATGCACATTGCATTGTTGGTTTTGTTTTTTTTTTCTGAGTTGTCCATGGAAGATTTTATCTAAGCTTCTGCATCTTCAGCTACCTGTAGCAAATAATTTCTATGATTATAGATATAGTCACTTCTATTTATTTTCGACCTGACACGCATACTACATTTATCTCATATGAAGATACTCAAAGAGAAAGGGTAATTGAAATGTCCCAGTAGATGACACTCTATCATGCCAGCACCTCTTGTACACCTTGAAATGAGAGGTTTCATACCTGAATGTCCAAATTTCAATTCTGATCTCAAATATATATAYACATCCTCTAGATTTTTTCCCATATCATCATTTCACTTGTCTAGAAATCTTCTGTTTTATGCAGATCCCTAAGAACAGTAGTAAAACAGCTGAAAAACACCTTCTGTCATAATCAGGCCAGCAGAAGACCAGCTGTTTCACAGACTTGTGCCCAAGCAGGAGGTTAGATAACCACCCTGTTCCCACCGTTTACATGGTCATTTTTGGGGTATCTTGGTGCTCAAGGCATGCTACCTGTCACACAGATATAGGAGAAAGACAGGACATTGCCTCAAAGTGCTTGTAGGTAAAGGAGAGGACAAGAAACAGCAGACAGATAGAGTACCACAATACTGGTATTACWGTATGGCAATACTATTTCCTAGTGATAAAGGTCAAAGTTCACCAGTGACCTAACTTTTGTGAGAGCTTTATTTTTCTAAAGTCACAGGTGGATTTTCAGACTGGAGCAGGAGTAAAATTAGCACTGGAGATGCATAAGACTATTCCTCTCAAATATGGCAGGCAGCCTGCAATAAACACTGATTTCTGCCATGGTCCTTGGATAAAGGAACAGAAGTGTCTTTACCAAAGTGTAATTAAAAACAACATTTTGGTTGGATAGAGTTGTGCTTCATGGTTTGCCTTCAGGGGGAAGAGACACAGGAAGAGAAGCATGAAAACCAGTACTTATCCCTCTATCCCSAAAACGTACATCGAATTTATGTGGACGAGGCCAAGAAAGCCATTCCCCTAAATCCCTCAATCTAATCTGCCAACATCCTTGAGCCAACAGGAGACAAATGCAAGGAGCAGAGAATGAACCACATCTGCAGCTTCTCAGCTCCTTATTTGGAGCATGAGCCTATATGACCCAYATCCCTTTTCACTCCCTTGTCTTTCCTACCTTGCAACTCTTGTATTTCTGAATTCAGCTGGCAATATACTGTTATATATATATATTCTCTACCCATAGCATGTCACAATGGCTTTAGCCCCTCCCCAAAAAACTATGCAATACCAAATGCAGCAATGCATAAACAAATCCACCACCATCTATGCGTTCTCCTTAAATGCTATTACATGATGTTTCCTTTTCAAACTTCAGTAGTCAGATTCATAAAATCAGTCTATCAGCTGATGCTGATTACCAAATGAATTAAATTAGCTAAAATACAAATACTTGCATTGCCTCAGCCTTTTTCAATAAGTTTTATTAAGATCGAGGATCAATAGCTAAGCCAAATCCAGAAAAATTATTTTTTTAATACTAACAGTGATCCCTCTAGAGAATCTGCAACTCAAGTGCACCTGCCCTCAAAGCCTAGACACAAAACTATAAACACAAATKGAAGTTACTTAAGTTCATTTAAGACAGAAAGAAAAGCAATTAAATGAATATAAAATACAATTGAATACAAAGTGTATTTGACTATTATTTTTAACTGTATGACATTTACCAGTCCAGGAGAGAGGCAAAGAAGCAGAGGTAGGGGCTGAAAAACACAGCAGGCACTGTGGGGACAAAAATGAGTAGGATGAAAAAATAATAGTACCATGCCCCGATTATTGAAAGACTGGAAACCATTGCTTTTGGAGGCTCAGTTCTCCTGTCTCTGTACACTACAAGTCTCAACTTCCTTCTTCCCACAATTCYTTCTCTTGGTCTGGGTTTACCACCTCTATCTACAGTTCCCTGCACCTTGTTCCTAAGCTTTGCAATCTATGACCCCACAAATCCTTTGTCTCTACTCTCTGCTCTTCAATTTCTCCATTGAACTAGTACTTCTCAGTTCTAGTCCCACTATTTTTTTGTCACCATGCAAGTAAACTAAGCAGTTTCCTCCTCCTTCTCCACCCTTCCATGTCATCATCAAGCACACTCTGACACAGAAGAAACAGTTGAGAAAGTCTTCAGTTCTCCCTACTTWTGTGCCCACTGCAGAAGCAACACCTTGGAAGAGTAGCTGCAGGGSAAAGTCCACTCAGCCCTTCAGTCACCAGTTGGAGTGCTCTCATTCTTCCCAGGAAGAGGAGCAGTTTATCAGCTCCTAACAGTGCTGTAATGTTCAGCATGCCTTGTGCTGAGAGCACCTTCAGCGAATGCAATGGTCAAGTCYTCAAAATTTCTCAGAAATAACCAAACCATTTAATCTGAAACTTCYCAAAGACAGTCTGTTCTTCATCAGACACTCAACCTGGAATATCTCAGCCTAGGCTTAAGCTTAGCAAATACGTAAGCACCTGACAGCAGAGCACTGTGCTCAAAAGCCATAAGTAATTTTTACTGTGGACAACCTTGCTGCCTGGGATAAAATAACAACTACTTCAAGGGCTTTCGCATGCTTCAGGGTAGAGATTTGGGAAAAAAATCATAATTCTGCAAAGTATAGTCTGTGGGTTCAACCCTGCAAATGTGCAGGGAGGCACCTTTATCTGTGAGTGAAAAAAAATTTTAGGCAAGCCTACTGTCTCCAGGCTGTGGTGCAGGGCACAGAAGTGCTGCCAGCTTGGRGAATCACCCTGATGTCACATACCTGGTTCTGAAAAACCTTCATTTTCATATCTTCTGTGAAATAGTGCAGTTTGGCAATTACATTCTCCAAATACTCCAGGCCATYTCTGCAGAGCAACCCTGTGTCCATATTCATCTACTGAAATGTATGCAGGATTGGGCTCTCCACCAGCTGACAGATCTCAGAATCAGACGTGGATCARTGGATGAGCGGGCTTCGTCTGGACACTGAACTCTAATTATTTAGTATCACCAAACAAACTAAACCCACAGCTTAGTGCATTAACATCTCACACTGGGTAAATGAGGTAATTTTCCACTTCAAGAGGCAACCACTTGTTGAACTAAATGCTCAGGTTGGCTGTGCCCATTCGAGTGATCCGTACAGCCCTTCTGGAGATTTAGCGCCATGAAAAGATCTAAGTTCCTCTGCTGGCTGTAACGCTTATAACCGCTAATTATTTCTGAGTCACTTGAGTGAAAGTAAGCTGCCATCCTGTACACAGTTAAAGAGTACGGAGCAAAGTTTCTGGATGAGCGTGCTCGTTAATTGCCAAATCAGGCTAGTGACCATAGAGGAAAACACCACGGCGCAACTCTGTGAATSCGGTGCTGCCGTTCAGCCGTACATTGAACGTTTACCCCGTTCCATGCACGGAAGGAAACACGCGGGAGTCCTGCGCAGGGCTGCTGCAGCAGCACGGCTCTCCCAGCACACGACACTACCTCCGCTCCCCCCGGGCGCTTTCGCCCATTCAAAAACACCACTGGTCCTACTGGAAGTTTTCCTTGACCAGACACCGCCCGGTCGCATCGCAGACCCTGCTCCAGTATAGCCTCTGCGAATCCCCAAAGTCGGAAAACGTCCAACCAACACCAAAACAAAACGAGATGGGGAAGAGGASTGCTTAGGGGGCAACTTATTTTTCCCATCGGAGGGGCCCGCCCAGYCGGACCCCGCCATCCCGGCCGGGACAGAAACGCCGCACGTACCGTGCACCCCACGGAAACTTTCCCGCGGCAGGGTCSATGCCACCCCGCACCACCGGGCGCGTCCGTCACCCCCGCGGAGCGTCGGGCAGCGGGGAGCTGACCCCGGCCGCCGCCACGGGGGTCACGCGTGGCCGAGCATCCCGCGCGGGTGCCCCGGGCGAGTGGCCCCGGGCGGGTGTCGCGGGTGGGCGCCCCGCGGGGCGGAGGCAGGGTCGGGGCCGCACGGCCGCGCGTTACCTGGGGTGCCGGTGCTGCGGGAGCGCGGCGGGGAAGCCCCAGCCGCCGCCGCCACCGCCGCCGCTACTGCTGCTGCTGCTGTCCGCGGTGGCCACCTGGGCGCGGGAACTGCCGCCGGTGCTGGTGCCGGTGCCGCCGAGCTGGATGCCGCCGCTTTTCCGGTGCCTGCCGGTGCCGCTGCGGCAGCGGCCGCCGCTGCTCCAGCCGCGCAGGAGGCCGGCCTCGGGAGCCGGCAAACTCTTCCTCGCCGACGAGGAGCCGGGGACGCTGCCCGCCTCCTGCCTGCCGCCGGTGCCGGTGCCGGTGCCCTGTCTCATGGTGCGCGGGGCCGCCGCATGCCGCGCTGCCGCCGCCCCGGGCGCCGCGGGACCCACGCGCGCCGGGGCCAGGGGCTCCGCCGGCACCGGGAGGCCGCCGGGAGCCCGGGCTGCTGCGGGGGGGTGCGGAGGCCGGGGGCCGGGGGGGCTGCTGGCTGGGGCTCCCGCTGGGGCATTAAGTTGGACGCGCGGCCGGGAGAGGCAGGGCGGGCGCGGGGGCTGCGGGGCCGATAGTTCTCCGCGAAGTTGGAGCCCGGCGGGCGAGGCGGGGGCATCCTCTCCGCCGGCCCTTCATCGCCGCTCGCCGCCGCCTCCCCTCGCCTGCCCCCGCCGCCGGGCCACCGCCCCGCGCCCTCAGCCGGCGGCGCTGCGGGGGCGCGCCCCGAGCCCCGCGCCCATGGGCGCAGCCGCGGCCCCGGCGGCAGAGGAGCTCCCGCGCCGGCTTCCTCCGCCGCTCGCTCGCCTTCTCCGGCAGGGAGCGGGGGAAACTTGAGGGGGGGGGGAAGGGCCGGGGGGAGCCCAAACGCGAGGCTGGCGCTCGAAATGGGTCAGGGAGGGGAAAAGGGACCCCGGCGCTAGTGCCCCCTTCTCCGGAGTGGGCGTCGGGAGGGCCTGGCTGGGGCGGTGGGTTGCGAGAGGGCTGCGGAGGAGCTCTCCCGCCCCGGCTCCCTGTGCACAAGTGCAGGGAATGTTCCACTGACCTACATATTTTTCCAAACATACGTGACCTTTTTTTTTTCTCTCTCTCTCTCTCTCGTTCTGTGGGAGGAGACAGGCGAGGATCCAAGAAAAGGAGAAGCTGGAAAGAGAGCGAAAGGGGAAGCAGGGGAAAAGAAACCCTCAACCAAAGAGCCAGCCCCGCATCAAGGATGGTTTCACACCGCCGCCGCGAGCGAACCGCGGCGTGCCCACGTTTACATATGTCTGTAGCGACATCCCCGCTCTGCACCGGCGGCCGCCCCGCTCCTGACCCCAGGAGCCCCCGCCGGTGCTGCCGGGCAGGACTGCGCCCGGTGCCCGGGTGATCCGGCGGGACCCCAGCACGGCTCCGTTCGGCGAGCTGGGGACGCCCTCCCCACTCGGCCCCCGGCTCGGGAGGGTGATCCCGCGCCCTCTCCGTGCCCGCTGTCCCRGCGRTGGTGGCGGCGAGAGCCGGGCAGGAGCGGGACACGGCACCGCGCTGCCCCGGGGCAGGCTCACGGCCTCGTCGGGCACAGGCAGGAGCTCCCGATCTGGTTATGCAACGGCGTACAGGCAACTGGAGCAAAACCTTGACAGAGAGCGCTTTTTTTTTTTTTCCTTGTTTCAAAGTAGGTCATTCTTTTTATTCCCTATTTTGCCTTTTTTTTTTTNTTTTTTTTTTTTTTTTTTTTTTTTCTTTTTCCCTAATACTCGTCCTGCAAAGTGGCCAGTAAGAGAGAAGGCGGTGTGCTCAAGCCGAGTAGGAGCTGTCGATCGGAGCCTTGCTTTTGCCTAGACGGACATTCCTGCCGGCTGCTGGCGGCCGCTCCATCTGGGTCCGGGGTTGCCCTTCTTTCCCAAGGAAGGCACAAGTGGCCGAAGAGCCGGGGCAAGGGTCGGGCACAGCCCACGGCTCTCTCTCCCCGCCGCTCCCCGGCCCCGCTCTCCGCGTCTCCCGCCGGCGCAGCCCCGGGAGCCGCCTCCCCCGGCCCCTCCGGTTATCGTCCCTCGCCCACTGTCGCCCTCGTACAGCCTCCGGACCCGGAACTTGCTGGCAACTGCTGGCAGACACCTCTTCCACCGGCAGAAGGAGTTTCTCCCAAAAAAAACAGTATTTACTTTCAGGAGAACTGTATTTTTTTTTTTTTTTTCTGTTCAGAGGAGCGATTTTCTGGGGAAGGAAAGCCCCCGTATCTGGGGCGAGCTCTGTCCCTACCAAAAGGCCTGACTGTATAGCCATGCCTCTGCCAGCAGAGTTTGTGTGGAAGGCCAGGGGCTGTTTCTACATCTCCCCGATGCCTCCTGTTGTAAAGACGCGTCAATCCTCGCAAAACACCCCTCAGTAGAGAACACTGCTCACTCCGGGTGTGAGTATGTGGGTGCAGCGTGTGGACTGATGGTTGCTCCAGCGAGGAGCTGTGCTGCTTCTCCCACTACCCCCACCACCCAGCTCACCGAGTTACCCCGCTGTGATATTTGCCTCCCCCCATACACCTTGTCCAGCCAGTTACTTGATCCGGTTCAATCCCCTAGGCAAATGTAAATAACTATGAAGTATGGAAAAACGTTGCCCTCCTTTGCTGAGTGCTTTTACACCATACTTTGTACAACAAGCATGACTAATGTTGAAAGGGTAAAGTTGTTTACTTTTAACCAAGATTAAATACAAAACTTTAAAAAGCTCCTCCCTTCCTTTGGATGAAACCCAGCATTTTTTCCCATTTGGAAATTGTCAAACAGTGGTTAAACAATCCTTTGGCAAACAAGTAGTGCCTGAGGGAATAAAGCATCAGATACATGGGGAGTGGAATAAAAGACATTTCTGTTCCTGAGGTACTTTTCTTGTGTTGCACAATGAAGTATAACGTAAAATCTTCAAGCCTTGTAAGGTTAGAGAAAAGGAACTTCCCATGATTATATACACCACATGATTGATATTCCAGTCCTTTTGAAAACCTACTAAAATCCTTTCCCCAAACCAACCCTGTGTTTCAGAAGCTGGKAAAACAAGTCCCTTAAGGGAAATACCAGGTCAAGAAATGCAATCAGAGAGACACAGGGGTGCATGTACAAAATTACATCTCTACTGTGTTTTAACATTTTCCCTATGAATTTCTAAGGACTCCATTGCACAAGTGAACAAGTGAGACTGGTTGAGGTTTGTTTCTTCATTCATTCCCTAGGTTACCAGTGTAAACTTTAATTAGGGCAACAAAGAGCAGAGCGGCTGAGGGTGAGGCAGGCTTTTCCCAGCTCGTACCTGAATCCCGTTGTGAAATACCAGCCATTCAAAACACAGGGCCATTCTCTCCATCCAGTGACACATGGAAAATAACCAAACGCTGTCAATACCAAGTTTGGGTTGGAAATTAACCAAAGCGTTATGCTAGATGCTACATGTAAGAACTTTAGGCAAGGAGCCCAGCGTTCAATTTTAAAGAATGAAATCTTTTTRTAATAATGAAATATTAGCAACGTTTCAGACACCAGGAGCCTGTGATCCAAAGACACAATCCCCTTTGTTTCGACTAGAATAGGCTGGCCAACCTTCACGGCCCAGAAACGAGGCAGCAGTGTTTTCAATGGGCCATGAACCACAGGCTAGGTRTCTCCCAGCGTGCAGGGACAGGGGGAAGAGCCTGAAAGGACAGCAGCGCCCCAGGGACCCTGCTGTGCCATTGTGGGAAGACCATGGGAGGGATTTGGGGTTGGGTGTRAGTGAGTTCAACCCAAACACACTGKGTTTAACTCTGCTGGTTTGCTTTCWCTTGCTGCCAGGAATATAGACAATGAGGTGCTGCCRCTGCAAGGTGTAACCCTTGGCACAGGGGCTGCCTTGGATGTCCTTTGGCTCCAGAGCCAGAACCTGGCCACCACAACCTGGAAGCAGAGGTCTTCCAGGTACCTAAAGGTACCTAAAGGAGAGMCCTAAGTCTCTCCTACAAAAGAGTAATTTCTTGCAAGAGCTTGTAGTGGTAGGGGTAATGGCTTTAAAATGAAGGAGGACAGGTTTAGATGAGATATTAGGTGAAAGTTTTTTTGCAGTGAGGGTGGTGAGGTGCTAAAGCATGTTGTCTGGAGAAGTTKTGGGTTCCCCATCCCTCCAGTGTTCAAGGCCAGGTACAATAGGGCTTCGAGCAACCTCATCTAATGGAAGCTTTCCCTGTCCATGGCAGGATGATCTTCAAGGTATGTTCAAACCCAAAAGGTTCTGTGATGATTCTGTGATTGTCTGTACTATAGAAATGCTCTTAATTTTCAACAGACACCGGTGGATGTTGTGGGGAAATAAAGATGCCATTTGCAGCCTGTAATTGAAATGTGAAGCCTGCGTTTGGATTACTGTTTGTGTAGAAGTAAATAGGGTTCTCCCAAACAAYCATCCTCTAATCAACATAAATGGCAGCAGTGGTGCAAAAGGGATGGCACTRTAGGAGAGAGGGCCATGGTGGAAAAAAAAATAAAGGACCTTCAAAGAGCTGACCAAATTCCTCTGAAAATGAAATTATTGCCTTTAGTTTACAAAAATATAAGAAAGACACAGACCAGGTTTCACTTGATTACTATTAATTAAGGGGCAGGGCAGACTTTGGGCCGCTTGTTTTCTGACTTTCCACATTGAAAACAAGAGCAACAGGAACAAATAAATGGYAAATAAATCTCGTTAGTCGGAGGAGTCACACCAGCTATGTCTGCTAGGAGCTCTACACTTCTTTGCAGACAGGCTGGCTGGGGGAGGCAAGCATGGGAACACAAGGACAGATGTGAGGATCTGCTTCTTTGGGTAATATACTTCTGTAACCAATTTTGTTAGAAATTTCTGCAGGGAGGAGTGGTCTTCAGGGGATCAGCATTATCTTTTATTCTGTGGCTTCCAGCTTCCTGAGTGAGGGATAGGTAGTGCATACTTACCAACCAGCAACACAGTCTCTGCATCAGGGAAAAGCAGAGAGATGCCACAGTGAGATGGACTTCAGATGCATTCTAAGTGGAATACCCCAAGTCCTGGAGTAGGATGTTTGATGGGTCTCCAGGTTCTCTTCACCTAGAAAATTAAACTCCTTGTTTTTCTGCATGGTTGTTGCAAGAGAAGAGGAAATTTGCTTTCTGATCTGGACTTACTGCGGTCAGATCTGGTTTGAAAAAACAAAAATCCATTGCCAGGGTTTTCGTGGAAGAACTTAGCCACTTCTACAAACTACCTGAGGGTTTGACTTTCTCAGCTTATTCAAAAAAGGGGTTGTAAGTTTCCTTTAAGTGGTTAATGGAAAGAGTGGGGAGGAAG